GCTGTGAGGGGGGGTGCAAATAGAGATCATGCAGAGAGGGAGAGGGAAGCGGCGGGGGGTGGGTGACGGATAGGAGAGTAGAGCGGGGGACGCGGCTGGAAGGCGGAGGGGGGCGTAGGGGGGCGGAGGGGGGGCGGAGGGTGGGCGAGGGGGGCGCGGAGGGGGCGAGGAGGGGGCGGGAGGGGGCGGGGAGGGGGCGGGGGCGCGGGGCGGAGGGGGGCGGAGGCGGGCGGGGAAAGGGGGGGGGCGGGGAAGGAGGGGGGCGGAAGGGGAGAGCAGCAGGAGAGGGAGCGGAGGGGGGCGGGAGGGGGGCGGGGGCGGGGGGGTGGGGGCGGTGGGGCGGCATTGGGCGGCGGGACCGGAGGTCGTGCGTATGGAACGGGGGCGGCGGGCCGGCGGGGCGGCGGGGGGAGGCGGTGTGCGGGGATGCGGGGGCGGGCCAAAAACGACAGCCCGCGAATAGACGCAGAAGAGTGATTGGGAGGCAGCCAGCCGGGCGCGCGCTCTCTACCTAATAAAATTCTAATTAAATGAGCTCTAATAGTCGAAAACGTTATTGATAAAACTAACCTAATTGTCTCTCTGGTTTTAATCTCAACTTTAAAATTAAATTCTAAGTTATGAATAAAAAAATCTAGACAAAAAATAATAATAACATACCAGATAAAGCCCGATTAGAAATACCGAAACAAAACGAGGTTAAAGATGTTTGGTCAATAACTCCTTCTGTTCCCGGAATATTCTGAAGATCATTTTAACCGAGATTGATTACATTACGAAGTTTTGCGCTGTGGCGTCGTGTTCTTCATTGGCTTCATCGCTGGCTGAGGAAAGAGTTTTTTATCGGCACGATATTGAAAGCGTTCTGTAAATACTACTCGTTTTGAAGGAGGGAAAAAAGTCCTCTTTTGGAATGTTTTTCGTGTAACCGCTCTCATGACATCCTAGTAGAGACCATTTATTTCAATTTTCTTGGGGAAAGTTGAACTTGCAACTGTATCCTTCTGTAATATCTCAACAGAGGTCTGAGGACAAATATTCAGGAAAATGTATCGGTAATTGTAATGACATCTTATGTAACTGGTGAATTTAATTCATTCCTGTACGATATA